ATTCCGGATACGAAACAAGTTAAACTCGCTAGTAGAGCCTATGAATGTGTATTCATTGGGTATGCAACAAACAATAAGGCATATAGGTTTTAAGATCTAAATGCTAAAGTGATAATAAAATTCAATGATGTTGAATTATATGAAGATAAATTTCCTGTCAATTCGAGAAATAGTGGGGGAACTGGATCGAATCACATTCTTGTGATAAGAAACACTGAAAGCATCAACAAAGTAGAAACTAAACTTCGACGAAGTATAAAGGTAAGAGTTGCTAAAGACCATGGGTCCGATTATGCGGCTCATAACATAGATTAAAATCTAATAAATCTTCAAAAAGCCTTGTCATCTCTGGATGCAGATTTATGGCAAGTAGCTATTAATGATGAGATAAAATCTATAGAATCTAACAAGACCTGACACTTAGTAGACTTGCCTCTTGGTTGCAAATGAATCAGTTGTAAATGGGTTTTGAAAAAGAAACTAAAACCTGATGGAACTATTGATAAACACAAGGCTCGCCTTGTAGCCAAGGGTTTTATGCAAAGAGAAAAATATATATTTCTTCGACACATTCTCTCCAGTCACTAGAATTACATCCATTAGGGTACTTATTTCAATAGCTTCTATTTATAAATTAATAGTACATCAAATGGATGTTAAAATAACATTTTTTAAACGATGACTTCGAAGAGGAAATCTATAAGGAAAAACCAGAAGGGTTTGTGATCCATGGACAAGAAAACAAGGTCTGTAAGTTAGATAGGTATTTGTATGGGCTAAAATAAGCTCCAAAGTAATGACATGTAAAATTTGATAACTTAATGATATCGAATGAGTACAAAGTGAATGAAAGTGACAAATACATTTATTACAAAATTGAGAATTGCATTTGCACTATCATATGTCTGTACGTAGACGATCTACTCACACTTGGATCAAACATTCAGGCCATTAATGATATGAAATCATTCTTGTGCAACAACTTCGATATGAAAGACCTCAGAGACGTGAGTGTGATTCTTGGTATCAAGATCACGCGATCTGAGCAAGGACTTTCTTTGGATCAATCACAATATGTGGGAAAGATCCTAAAGAAATATAATTACTTTGACATTAAACATGTGAGTACACCATATGATCCAAGTGTGAAGTTGTTTAAGAAAACCGATGAAACTGTTAGACAAACAGAATATGCGAGCGTCATTGGAAGTCTTAGGTATTCTATTGATTGTACTAAACCCAACATTGCATATGTCATGGGATTGTTGTGCAGTTTTACTAGTATATAGAGTAATGAACATTGACAAGCTATTGAGCGAGTCATACAGTTCCTTAAAAGGACCATGAATCTCGATTTACATTATCAGAGATTTCCTGTTGTACTTGAAGGATACAATGATGCAGATTGAAATATTTTATCAAATGATTCTAAAGCAACTAGTGGCTATGCATTCAACATAGCTAGAGGAGTTATATCTTGGAAATAAAAAAAACAAACTATCCTGGCTCAGTCTATGATGGAGTCTGAGAATATAGCATTAACGACAACTAGTGAAGAAACAAGTTGGTTAAGATGCTTGCTAACGGAGATTCCCTTATGGGAAATACTTATTCCAGTTGTGTTGATCCACTGTGATAGTACAGCAGCTATTGCAAAAATCAAAAACCATTATTATAATGGTAAAAGACGTCAAATTAGAAGAAAGCACAACATTGTTAGAGATTGTATCTCTAAAGGAGTTGTAAGAATGGATCATGTACGCTCTGATGAAAATTTAGCAGATCCTTTGACGAAAGGATTAGCTAGAGAGAAGGTCTATAATATATCATATAAGATAGGACTAATGCCTATAGGAAAATGAGTTTCTCATGATGTTAACCCGACCTAAATGACTGGAGATCCTAATAAATAGGTTCAATAGGTAATAACAAGTTGTGAGTAATATGAGATGATCATGCAAGTAAAGTATGAATCCCGAAGTAATAAGAGGATGGGATAATAGAAACTCTTAATGAGATTTATACTTTGTATGAGGAAGTACCTAGGCTAGATGATTACTCTTGATATACTCACCTTTTTTATTGTGGAACTTAGGCCGGTTCCTATGGAATTTCGAGACAGAATTCCTAGAGCCTTCACTAAACCAGGATACACGTGCAGGGCCATTAAAGCACACACTATTAGAATACACCTTAAGAAAAGATTGTGTGCGTGTTTGATCTTAGAGATAGAGTTCAAGACATTTGTGTCACTCTTGTTGAATTGGAATCCTACTTGCTATGCATAGGTTCAAGTCGTAGACACCTTTGTGTATGCACAATCTTAGAAACAGTTGACGTTACTTCTAAAATCACTTTTTTAAATTCAAGTGGGGGATTGTTGGAACGTGTCCATGTTCCAATATGTTGAATTTAAAAATTTCTCAAGTCCCACATTGTTAGAATATTTTTTTGGTTGAAAAAACTCCTTAGTCCCATATTGCTTAGTTTGGAAATCTTAGCTAGTTTACTTCATTATATAAGGAAATTACTTGTTTCATTCCAAAACTACACCAAAAACTATTTTTTGAGTTTTTCCTTCCTCACTCTCATAACTCTGCGTCTTTCGAATTGTCAAAGCGTCGATTTCTCTCCATTTCTTTCTACTCGTTGAATTTTCGAATACTTTTTTGAATTCTCCTTAGAGAATAATGTTAATTTCTCCTCATTTGAGTTGAGAAATTGTCAAGTATAATTTTTGAATTCTCATTAAAGAACTATTCAAATTTCTCTTTGTTTGAGAAATCTTTTTGAGTGGTCAAATGACCATCATTGAATTCTCTTTGAAGAATTATTGAAATTTCTCTTGTTTTGAGAAATTATTACACAGTTATATCAGATACTACTGTGATATTTATTTCATATTCAAATGGTCTTAGTATCATCAGAGAATGTATTTTTAGATCGATTATCTACCGTACAATTAAAAACCGTACAATATAGAACTAAACTGTTTTATCTTTAAGGCGGCGTGATAGTTCGACTGCTTTGCGTGATTTTAGACAGTACCGTGAAACGTCTTAAAAAGACCGATTTAGTCTGTGACTCAACCTGATAATTTTTTCGATGGCAAACAAACTTTCAAAATCGAATACAACGAATCTAATTTTTGGATGGACTTTTAAATGAAAAATGAAACTCTAATAATAATAATATAAGTTTTTCATAGTTATACAAAATCAAAGATTAATTTCTATCTTGCATGAACTCCATGTGATTTATAACTACGTTTAACTACCTTGTAGAAACTTCTTTACAAACTTATTTTTAGATCGATTGTCAAATTCCTTTTAAATTTGTATTTTTACAGCTTCAAGATTCTAACATTGCACAGGAATTCTAGTAAAAAAAAACCTACTTTTTGAGAGATTTTTTTATATTTCGAAAGAAAAACTGTTTTTATTACTTTTCTTTTGAGAAAACCTCAATAATTCAAACTTAAAAATATAGATTTTAAATATATCACCATTCAAATTATCATTGTTGTAATTCAAAGAGTTTATAAGATTTCATATGTTGGTCTAAGAGACAACTAGTTAAATTCAAAGTTGGACTCAAAAAGTTAATTGACAATGGTCTTGTGTAGTTTTCTAGTCCAACAGATTCACAAAATTTCTAGAAATCCCACCAACTTCCTTAGGTGGTTTCCTTCCCCTTTCCTTAATCTTATTTTTCATCATAAAATATTGCCGCTAAAATACTAATCATGTAATCTTTATACATTCAATTATTAAACAATTTCTCTTTTGACCATGTAATTAAGTTTGGTATATTTTGAACCTAAGCCTATATTTCATAGATGCAGGTGTTGTCACACGACAAATAGCTTAGCCTAATCTGGCGGCAAACTAGTCCTGCCACACACTTGTTTTGAGCACAATTTGTTAATTAATGTATCACATTTTGTTTATAAAAAAGAAGCATATCCAATATCACGCATGTCCCACGTTAATAATACGAAAAATGTCTATTCAATGGACTAAGTCTTGCTTTCATCAATCCAACGTTAACGAGGGCTATTTTGAGAATATTTTGATAATCAAAATTTCACCTCATAAGTCGTGGTTCAAATCCGTATTTATGTAATTAAATATATAATTAATCTCTCTGAATTGATTTGATAGTGATTGTTTGAGATTTAAGAGTGCACTTCTTTCATTGTTTCAAATTTCAATCTGGTTAAGTCCTAACAATTGATATATTATATTATGACACTCTTAATCTAAATTCTCACTTGGATTAGGTCCATTTATATTTTAAACTAAATAATTTGACATGAAAACCAAAAAAACAAGACTCCACAAAGAACAAAGAAGTTGTTAATAAGCTGTCACATGAAGATCTCATTGCCAAAAATCAGATTTTGACACACAATCCTCAAACAAAATTACAAGGTTGCCAAAATAGTTAAGAAACTCTATTATATGTATATTTCTCCACGCGTGCACTTCGCATTTTACACAACTATTCTATGCATGTTGACTTTACACTCAAATAAAGCCAAAACCACAATCACCTCAATTAATAACGACAAAAACTATACCCTACAAACTTCACCACCTCATTCCTTAATCCTTATCTATTACTAAACTTTACATACAAAAGGAAAAATATATATTTAGAAGAAAATTCTCCTATAGACTCCCAAAAAGAAACATAAATCATAACACAAAAAAAAAAATCAAATGATCTTCAAATTTTGATCATTCAAACACAACAAAAACAAAGGCTTTCATCACCCTCAAAAAAAAGTAAAATATTAGTTAAATAAAAATACTAAAAAAACCAAGAAATAAAAATATATAAATAAAATTACACTGAGATAATAAGAAAAATCTTTTCTAATTTATCCAAAAGATATGGACACGTAATCTTGAACACGCAACAGTGTTAAATTCATTTTGACGTCCATTGTAATCCTTTCTACATCGAGGGATTAGTATTCAGAGTTGCGCAATGAATCATTGTGGATAAGGAAATTCTTCAGAAGACATCAACAATTGTTCCAAATAATCAGAACCAAGATCTTCGAACACGACAGCATTATCAACACTATTATTATTGTTATTACTATTGTTCTTGTTTCTAAAATCTTGTTTTTTGTTCTTGGCGAACCCAATTTTCCTTCTCAAAGAATGTTTCCTCTTAAGAGCAACAACAGGTGAACAACCATCTTCAGAACATTCATCGCAATTCATATCGTTAAGCGATTCTCTCACAATCTCCACAGGAAAATTGAGTATAGCAGAAGAGCCTCTCATGGCAAAAGCAGCTTGATCATAAGCTAAAGCAGCTGCTTCAGCACTGTCAAATGTTCCTAACCAAACCCTCATTCCATTTCTCGTTGAATCCCTTATTTCGGCTGCGAATTTCCCCCATGGTCTTCTTCGAACACCGCGGTAGGATTTCTCCTTCCGCGGTTCGTTCTCTTCGGAACTTGCCTCTTCTTCCTTGACTCTGGTGACTCTGGTGCTGGTGAGGGTGGTGTTTGCGTCGTTGATCATGCCGTAGAGAAGCATCTCTTCGGGATCGTTCTCGTTGAAGGGGAGATAGTTGAATTCGAATGAAGAGGAAGGGTTTGTGAGTGAGTTCATTTTGTGAAAACAGAGTGCTCTGTTTTTTTAAGTTAGTGTTGTAACTTGTAATTGGAAACCGAACTTGTTTTTATATAGAAAATTTGTAAGGTGGTAGTAAAACGGTAAGAGTTGCCACAAAAGCGAATGGGATAGAAGTGAAAATTTTTAAGGTGAAAGCAAAAATATACTAGATAACCAAAACTTATAGAGAGAGTGCTACATAGTCATGTACAAGATAAACTTTGTGTTGCCAGAAAAATACTCATGACAAAACGGTATCAGAAAGTGACATATTATTAAGGGTTTTAAAAAACTGATGGTATTGATTGTCGTCGTATAATTTAAATTAACTACAATTTATTCTTACAATATTGATTCTGGTCGTTACGATATGAATTAATTACGATTTATTCTCTAATATAAAAAATAATGATAATAGTATCTGTGTTAGTATTTGGCCAAATTGTTTTGTCACAATTGTTCTCAAAGTTTAAAAAATATATATTGACAGTGTAAAAAGGTTTTACACTATCATCCTATCAAAATTTGTTATATTATTTAGTTTTTTTATAAATTAAATTTTAATTTAGTAGAATTTATGATCGATTAGTTGATAGTGTAATTTTTTTTTTATATTATTAGTGTATCATTTATTTTCTCTTGTTTCACAGTTGCAAATCATTTTTTAAAACTTTCATATCACTATTACAATCTGTATCATAATACTTATATCAAATATGGTATTGTGAAATTCTTTACCCGAGCTCGAACTTTGTAAAACATTGATCATATATACTACATAATTATTTTTATGAATGGTCTATATTCTGAGTATCTTTGATATTATTAAAAGGAAAGTATTTTTTTGGTTGGTTTGCAAGAAAATGTTTATTCTAAATAAGGACCAACATGGTATCACGGTTGACGTATAATATGATCTTTAAATATGTGGTTTAAAATTGAGAAATGATATTTTGACTAACATCTTGTATTTATACATTGTGGATACGATTTTAATTCTTTATCACTTTTTTTAATTGTGTTAAATCAATAATTATAAAAGATGTTTTATTCAATATCAAAATATAGGATTAATAACTATTTTGCTCTATGTTATATAGAAAGGATTCCAAAAATAATAATATAAAAAAAAATATAAATTTTATCCATGTGATTTAAAGATTTCTTCGTTTTAGTCTTTTAATGAATTTGATCACTTAAAATACTAATGTAGAAATAACATGTTGACATTTTTAGTTTAAGTAAGTCATACATGGTTTTATTTCTATTTAATTATTTACAAAATATCAAATGATGTAATTTATATAATTAGTTTAAGTAATTGAAATGAAAAGTTATTCAATTCATTTCGTTCACCCTCTTGAAAACCTAATTTAGAAAACTTTGTTCTTCATCGCCTCCTCCAAGGTTACGAAGCCTCAATTGGCAACTTGTAAAGTTGTGTTAGGTACGATTGTCTTCTATTTTCACTAAACCAAACCACGATTGTCTCTAATGTTCATGATTCTTAACACATGCATGCCCCCTTTTTCCATTTGTAGGAATGGCATTGTTCTACTTTATCTTTCACCATGGTGGTCAGTTTGTGCGAGAAAGCTTTGTTTTTTACATAGGAGGAACTTAAACTATTGTTAGAGGGCAAGATTCAGACACATGGTCCTACTACGGAGCTATGAGCTTAGTACTCGAGTGTGGATTCGACGATAATGGAATCCAAATGTGGAGGAAAATAAAAGGTATTCACGAAAGTTTCTTCCACGTGACTGAAGATGTTCACGTTATGGATATTGCCAATCATTTTATTTTGCATAATTTTGATGGACACATTTGGCTTGAGCACATTGTTGGAGACAACATAAAGAGGGTGCAAAATCCAAATATAGTTGATGTTGGTGAAGAGAGTGATGGTGTTGAAGATGAAGACTCTGTAAGAATAAGATTTAGGGACAGCGAGGAAGAAAGAGTGAATGATGACAATAAAGGATTTGTGGTTGTGGAGGTTGATAGACTTGATGAAGGTAATAGGGTTGCAGACTACTTATTATTGTGGTTAGGGATCCAAATGATTAGTACTTTCCTCTAGCATTTGGTGTTGTGGAGACAAAGACAAAGGAAAGATGGAGGTGGTTCTTACCAATGCTTATGGAAGATATTGGGAAACATAGAAGATATGTATTCATATCTCACCAACAAAAGGTATGAATTTATTTATATTCATTTGTATAGTTATGTATATGTGATTTTTAGTTAAAAGTTATTGTAATTTTCATAAGGGCTTGTGGTTGTATTTGAAGAGATATTTGAGTCAATCGAGCATAAAGTATGTCTAAGGCATTTGTATGCCAATTTCAAAAATAAATTTGGTGGAGGAAGTGCAATAAGATATTTAATGATGGGGGCATCAACAACAACATACCTACAAGATTGGGAGAAAAATATGTCTGAGTTAAGGCTACTTGACTCAAAGGCTTGGGAATGGCTAATTGGTGTTCCAACCAAACTATGGTGTAAGCATGCTTTTAGTTATTATCCAAAATGTGATGTTTTGATGAATAACCTTAGTGGGTCTTTCAATAGTACCATATTGCAGGCTAGAGATAAACCAATTATCACTATATGTGAATAGATTAGGAATTATCTCATGAATAGGTTAGTTGTTACTTAACCAAGTTAGACAAATAGAAACATAAGATAATGCCTATGGTATTTTGTATGATATTTTGATTGTACTTGTATGGTATTTTAATTGTACTTGAATTTGGTATTTTCATTAGAGGTTGTATTTTGAATGCATGGTACTTTGTATGTACTGGTATTACTTATTACATTAAATGTAGACCAAGTCCTATTTAACAGGTCCACTCTAATGGTTATTGCCAATTTCGTATGACAGTAAAATGTATGTTTACCAATTATATGGTTATTACCAATTATACCAATTATATGAGCAAAATAGACTGTAATATAGTTCAAACATATGGATCCAATTGCATTCATATTTAGATAATACAAAGAGCACAACACCATAGGTACAACACATATTTTTCCACAACGTAACTAATTTTACATGTGTACAACACATTCTACCTATAACTAAACATGATAGCAAAAAAAATCCAAGATGCAATAAGAAGGTAAGTGAGGGCATTATGGTCTTCTGATCATTTGCATACTTCATTTTTAGTTTCTCAATCTTCTTCTTGTTCACTATCTTCCCAAACTCATGCACGAAATTCTTCCCAAACTCTACTCCATAATTCCTCATAACCTCCATTATCTTTTCACTTTCAGTGCAACCTCCATCATACCTTGGTTCATCATATTTTCAACTTTCAAGTTCATCATCCTAGTAAAATAGATGACAATCATCATCATTCTGGAAAATAGATGAAACGTATGAAGATTAAAAAAAAACAAAATCTGGAAAACTATTAAGATACATCACCATTAAATGAGATATGAACAAGGGATATGAAGAAATTTGAACAAACCCCCTAATTTTTACACTTCCAATATCTTCTTCCTAGGTTTGAGCTTGATTTCAAAACAAATATTCTCATAGGAAGCTCATGCCCACAAATTGGATCTTTTCTTCCACTGGATTTATTCCCTGAACTTGCGCTTCCTACCATAGGTGAAAGTTACGAATAACAAATGAAGAAGAACCCGTGTTGAAGATGAACCCGTTTTGAAGATGAACCCAAGAAGAATATGAACCCAGGAAGAAGATGAACCCTAATTACGCATACTGTAACGCCTGTTAATTTAATTAATTATTTAATTAAATTAATTACGGATTAATTACAGATTAATTGTTAAAGTTATGGAATGTTGAGAAATGTTGATTTAAGTTGCTAAGTTGTTATTTGGTTGATTAATATTAGTAGTAATATTAATAATGACATTAGAATGGTTATAAGATTTATTGTTGGGCTTAATTAAATGGTCGTATGTAGTAAAGGTGGGGGTGTGAAAATTAGATCCAATAGATTATTATTATTATTATTATTACTAAGTTTAGTAATAATAGAAATTAGGTTATTTGGAGAATAAAGAATTGGAAGATTGATCATGGAAGTTACAGGAAGGAGAAGTTGCAAAGAAGAGGAATAAGGAGAAGAGGCAAATCGAGATTCCACCGAAAAAATTATAGGATTGTCTCCAATTCAATGTAAGGGTGGGGTTCTTGCTCTATTTATATGATAAATGATATGTGGGATTGGGGTTGTATGAAATTGCCACTGTCGGTGATTTTCTGTTGTGCAATATACGAAATCTATGTTGGTTTGCACACTTGATTGTTACAATACTAAGGGTTGTTGTTTCTAGAAATTATTTATGATGAATATTGTTAGTGTGTTGTTGTGTTTTGGATACTGTATTGGTGTCTGCTAGAGACTGGGAAAATTTGCATTGAAAATCTGTGTATGAGGCAAGCACAGGTGTCGGTGCCGAGCGAATGGAGAGTGACGATCGGCAGGCACACAGTGACGACCGATAGAGGCATTAGAGGGAAGGGCCCTGTCGATCGGCAGGGATAGTGGTAAGGAGGGTGCCGATCGGCACCATATATATATATATATATATATATATATATATATATATATATATATATATATATATATATATATATATATATATATATATATATATATATATATATATATATATATATATATATATATATATATATCTTCATTTTCTTTTGTTTAACGATAGGCAAAGTTTGGTGATGATAGCCATGAGAGACGTGACGATAGGCACATTGTGTTTCTCTAAGAATATTCAACTATATTCTTCAGCTATATATATGAGACAATAGCTGAATTTATTAAAAATGCAGAGTTAGTGCTATTCGGTAGTAACATAAGAATATTTAGCAGATGATTATTTAGTTGAATATAGTTGAATTGTCTGAATAATTACGCGGAATATGTGTAAAATATTAAGGTTGAGACGGTGGATTGTATAAGTTGCTGTAAGGTAGAGACTAAAAT